CATTCCAAACGTAGATGGCTAGAATTTTTTACTGAGTATTTGTTTCATTCATTGATCAGTGAGGAGTGTGTGTAAATCTTACCAATTCCAATAAAAACTGATTGAGTAGCGTTTTGATCACATGACCCGACATGTGACTTTCCTCCTCGGCATTGTTACCATAAGGTAAAAGTTCTTACGGAAAACTATCGTCCACGAAAATTTCAGCGCAATTGGCTGTGTATTTGCGGAGATATAGCTGTCTATTATCTTAAGGCAATTTACTCTCCTGACCCAGGCCTGAATGAGGACAAAGTATCATACCTGTGGATTGTACATTTAGAACTAAAAGTTACCCAAGAGAACAACAAGAAAATCTGGCTTACTTTATTATCAAGACACTTCCTTTGTCATCTCCTTGCTATAACAATTCCAGTCTAGGTCAAAAAGGAACCTATAAGATGGTATAGGTTGGAAACCTCAGGTACATTTACAATCACTCCTTTCGGAGTGTTATGTAGAAAACTTTTGCGAAATTTTCCGTATTGAAGAGTTACAAAGGTGTCACTGTTATGTTTAACCATTCACCTCATATGCGTGTTTTACGAAATAATGGAAGTAAGCTATGGATATTGCTCTTACAACTTATTCAGCAGATTGCAATCAAGAAATAAGCTCTCAGTACAGTAAACTTTGTCAGTCGTTTCACTTTTTTTGTCTTCAGGCTTGCACTAGCTATAGGGCAATGAATATCTAGAAAGAAAGCGGTGTCATTTAAGAAACTCATAGAAGTTGAGTAGTTGCAGTAAAAATGATTGGTTGGAATTGTTTAATTCCTGAGTCTGTCTTATTTTTTGAAAATGTATAATGTAGGTCAGATGACTGCCACCACTTTAACCTGCCTGGACCATTTGCTTAAACCTTGTACTTCTCCTTAAGGCATCAATGCAGTATCAAGTAGACAGGGGATGAATTAACCCTTTAACTCCCAAGATCTCATTAGTAATTCTCCTTACTATTTGCCAAATGGTTCTCATCATGTTAGTTTGGAGAATTTGGTATCGGATCAATTAGTAATCCCGTAATTGATATTTTTCTTTATTCCCATCACATGTCTACATGATATTGTATAGATATCGTAAGGAGAAATTATTTCTCAATCACTCATGGGAGTTAAAGGGCAAAAAAAATAAAGACAAGGGTATTAGTAACCCCAAATTCTAGAGTTTGGCTCTCTTTCCAGGTTTCGCTCGGCATATTCGCTAAAGAAGGTATGGAGCTCGCCAGTCATAGCCGGGTAAAACTCTAAGGAACTATTGGATTGTCCTTGAATTTGATTCCCATCTGTTTTTCTGTTTTCAAGTAAAGACGAACGAGTTGGTTTTCAAAAGTTTTAAAGATAAAGTGAGTCAAGTACAAACTATCTGCCCAACATTCCACAAAGAGACGAAAAATTGAGAAGTGTTGTAATTTTTATTGGAGCGTTGCTTAGGGTTTCCAAGTGGCCAGGGATTGTACTGAGGGAGAATTAGACTAAATGTGGTTACTGTCTATCGCATCCTGCGTTTTTTAGCCTGCGGCCGGCACTGGCCGCAGCTTTCACGAACACAGTCAGACGTAACATTATGAGCGGTATTTCCTTTGGACTACACTTATATTTTTAAGCTGAGCTCACAGTGTTGTTATTTGCATTTGTCTCATTATTCTTGGTGAGCATCTGTGATAAAGGCCAATTTATGAAAAACCTGAACCTGCCTTGCGTGTTCCGGTTCAGGTAACTTTGGTTGCGATCACCATTCTTCCGGGAGGGCGGGGTATTTTCAATGACAAAAGGAGCATCAGTCTCGCGCTTGAGGTATGTGAAGGGATTTCGCGAGTTCAAACGCTATAGTGGAGGGTGAGGAAAAATTGCATTAACGCATCATATTTGTGAAACGTTGATTTAGAATGTTACTCAAGAGAAAAAGGAGTTAACCTCGCTTAGTTTTTGAGTAAGACACTTTCTTTGCTTGTATTTGACGTTTGAGATACCGGTCTCCGTAAAAAAAGTGGCTCACAAGATTGTACGAGTGTGGATAGTCAGGAGTAAAATTTCATCATACGGGATTGCTTTGTTAAAGGTGCCTACAAGAAAGACACGTGGAAATCCTCTAGTCACGTTCACCGCATTTAAAGCACAAATGAAAATACGAGGTTTACAACCAGTTAACCCTTTACACCTTAACATCAGCATGTATATTCTCCATAATGTTCTTTATAGATTTCCTATGGTACAAACAAAGAGAATTTGATAAATATCAAGAGCGTTTCAATTTTACGTTCATTTCCTTAATTCTCGTGGGCCTAATTTTTGATTCCGCAGTGATACCATACTAGTGAGAAATTAGATGTTAGTCACCCCACGGGGGTCTAAAAGTTAAGCAGATTGCAGCCTTAACACAAATTCTTAGTAAGGAACTTTACAGTTTTTATCGTTCTCCTTCTTTATTGTCACGAACTTGTGATTGACAGAAAAAGAGGCGGAATTCTTTTTAAGGAACTCATGAAACTGAGCGCTTACAGCAGGAAATAAATGGCAAAGGAGGCCCCCCCCCCCTTACGAGGCAATCTTTATTGCAACGGCCGGAATTGAGTGGGCCTGGTTGGAGACGAAAAAAATACTTAAAAGCACTCGATGCTCGAATGAACAAGCACCTTGTTAAGATAAGTGTCATTACCTGTGAGTTCTCTTAGCTGTCCTCAAGAAAACTAATCCAAGGAATTTTTTGACCCAGATAACCTGAGCGGTAATGGTCAAGTAACAGGGAAAATTATTTTTACAAATTTAGCGGTCGATCATTGTCATGAAGTACATGACAAATAATCTTCCACGTTGTGCACGAAACTATTCTCAAGAACGTCAGTCGTTCCTTCGATTCACATTACCCATATTACCCAGGACCGGAATGTTTAAAAGGCGGTTATTAATATTTCAGGTTTACAATTTGAGACTTGGTTGTGATTTCCCTTGCCATTATAGAAACTTACTCAAAGTTTTGAAGAGGTTGCAAAATTGAAGTGAATGAGAAGACCAAAGGTAAACAATAGAACCGTCTGCACAACACAGTTGCCAAACTTAGTACGGCCCTGCTATAAAATAAACCGTTTGTTTCAGTCGCAGTGACAAAAGCATTTAACCTTGGTAAGTAATCAAGGAAATTTAACTCACACTAGGGCATCATATTCTTCAAACTGGACAACTTCTTCAGTCATTTCAAAGAATAAAACGATTTGCGATTAAAGGATCGCTCGAAAGCTTCAAAGCTAAATTATACATTTGATAACTTCCACTTGACATAAAAAATACAATTCTGAATAAAAATAAATCAACAATTTTATCTCCCTCCAAACTGTTTTCCAGAAAAAACGGAGTAAAATAAAATCACCTATCTGTGACCGTTACTTTGCACAATGATTTTAACTGTGAGCTATTCAGCAAAATCTGCTCCAAAATCTATTTGCTTTATAAAGCACTGTACTTAAACAAAATTGTTTCCACTCTCATCAGTCCTGGAGGAGTTATAAAAGAGCAATGATCGGAAAATTCTGAAAAGTAATTGCCTATACTTTCGCTAATCTTAATGTACTTGAAAAAATATTGCGAAAGGCAAGGCAACACTTGTATTCCTATATAAAAAAATTACTTAAAATTTTTCTTTGAAAAAAATTCACCTACATAGATTGTTCACCCGAAAACGGAAGTGACAGGCGTTTAGACACATCCGTCAGCAGCTGTACTGTAGTAGTAGGTGTTTCCATGGAAACGACCTTTTTGAGATCTGTGAGTTTGACCAATGGAGTAGCAAACTGCAATGGAGTAATATTGCCCGTGATGGGTGTGACTGAATGCAATTCGGCTTTGCCTACTTGAGGAATTGCTGGAAGTTGAATTGATAAGGTCTGTTGCACGGGGCGAACTTGCTGAGGTTCAAGCACGGTGACCAAGGGAGTTGTGATAACCGCTTGTTGTTTACCGGCAACAGAGGGCTCCAATGAAACAGGTTCAGGAGTGGGCGTGAGTGACCTGGGACTGTAAAGCAGTGGTGCGTTCACAGGCGATGCCGCCATCTTAATGAGTTGGTCTGGAGAAGGTGTTGAGCTACCAGAGGGAGGGGTGGGTGTGGCCCACACTACTGACCCCCCGTTACCTCCTGCTGAAACAGGGATTTGCAAAAAGTAAGCACTGTTCGGGCATGCGTTGTTAACACTAGCAGGACGCTCTGTTGCCGGAAGAATTGGCACCGGCGACATCGCGTGCGGATTGGAGAGCGCATTCATGACAGATCCACCCTGAAATGGAACAGGCGATGAAGTTGTCTGTTGAGACTCAGTATTTTTCCAAGGGGACTTAACCTTTCGGCAATAGCTCAATGGTTTCAGAGGGCTTAAGTCGTCTATAAGACTGGCTTGAATGGCTACAGACGTTTGCTCTACGAGTGCGTCGTAGGGCAGGGGTGACGAAGACTGATGGACCATCATTGGACGGGTTGGTCCCCCTTTAGGAAAAGCTTTATCCAGCTCGCGTTCCATGCGCTTCCAACGTTCATCTTGTGAGTCAAACCCCTGCTGTTCTTCTAACAGTTGCCGCTGTTTTTGTCTCTCTAAGAGAATCTTTTGTTCAGGGGATGCCAGATTTAATTTTCCGGTCGGACTTGTCTGTTTAGGGCTGGTAACTGAAGGAACGCTCTTTCCTTCTTGAGGACTTTTGAACGGTGAAGTCGTTGAATGTGAAAATCCAGCATCTGTGTCTTGCCTGATGGAGTACGCATCGTCGGCGCTTCGTCTTCGTTTCGGCTCTGGAGCACCGTCCAGTTCTGATGTTTGTGGCATGAACAAGGAACGACGACTCTTTCTAGCTTCGAAATCGTCTGAATAACTGCAAGCTGAAAGTAACTGCGACATACGTGCGAAACGTCAAGGATGAATAAAGGCCAAATTTCAGGTTCTCAGTAAATCAGGTTGCAGTTAAACTTTACTTAGCCACAGGCACTAATAACCATTAAAATAACCTTTCCATTTGAAAGAGAGGAAAAACCGCGCTTAAGCATTTGTTAATGAACCTCTTTTCCTGAACAACTAGAATACAGAGGGTAAAATATCTTGAGAAGGTAAGTAATGAAAGGATATGATCAGGGTACTGTTGGTGTAGTTTCTTCAACTCTGCACGGAATTTAGCTTCAGTTGGACTGCCTGTTGATGAACCCACACCTGCCAATACAAACGGAACCAAGCTAAGACAAGAACAAACTTTCAGCTGTACAATTACACAGAAAGCTTGAGAATGGTGGATTAACTTACCAAACGAAGCTGCGATCTCTTGAACTGAAAAACCATCCTCGCATTCTCGCTGACCTCCTTTCTTCGTGCTCAAGACTCTCTCTGATCGTGAACGCGGCAACTTGCTTTTGCTTGCTTCAGTCTCCCCTGTCTTTGGTCTAATTTGTTGCTGGCTTGGTCTCCGCCTGATAAAACGTCCTACAGCACCTGACCAATAGTAATATGAAAAGATTACGGTGCGATAATAGATTTCAGTTTTCTTTGAACAAGATTTTGGAGACGTTTTTTCAAAAAGCTTGTAACCCGTAGATCAAGTGGTGTCCGAGAGTAAGTGCAGATAATATGCGGTACCTAGAGGTTAGTTGTCTCTTTTTCAGTGTTTGATCCTTTAAACTTACTTTCTTCGTCTTCATCAAACTGGAGTTCGTTTCTCTTTTCTCCAGAGACCCTGTGAACTGTTGGTGGGTTGTCTACCTCATCTGTAAAACGGGAACAAATGAAAAGAACACATCTTAGACAAGGGCAGCTTGAAGTAACGTGCACCTCCATACACCACTTTTCCGACACAGACGTGTCTTCACATCTGGTAGTTTAAAACATTCTGATCATTGGCCTTTTCAAAGTCACTTGACATGAAGGAGAGGGGCACGGATGAAATCTACAGGGGAAGGGGTTCATTACATCTGAAAAATATTTACAAAGCTCCAAATACACTAATAGGCTGTCATGGTGACTGAATGACAATTAGCCTTCTTCAAATGTAGGTGCCCAGGGTGCTTAAAAGTAAAGCGCTTCAAATCTACATTTTCTCTTGGTATCTTTTGATGGGGAGTCACTATCTAGATGAGAAACTTCTAAATTATCTTACTTCATGCTCATTATATAACTAATTGGTGCTTTTGACCAAAATTGCAATACCTTGGGTGTTGGGTACCAATAATTCCAGTTTATCAGGATCTATTCCTATCCATCTGAAGCCAGGTTTCCTTCCTACCTGGATGCTGTGGATGTGCACTTTCTCTATTAACTGAAGGCTTGATAGAATGTTGGCAATGTCATACAGTCGTCTGACTTTAGCTGAAAGAGAATGATTGTGTCATTGAAAGATTGCCAACAGTATCACAGTAATTGCGTGTCTAAATCCTGCCTCAGATTTTCATTGTTATACATCATATTTTCAACACAGAAAAGATTGGTCTTGTTAGTCAGAAAATTTTTTTCTATCTTTTTTAAGTACTGGCATGTCAATTCTTCCTTTTTTCCTTCTAAAATTCTTTTCTTACAGTTACTGGTATGTTACATTTTTCTCCCAGCTGTGTTCACCTTATCAGTGCGTATACAATTATGCAATTTATTGTTATTGTATTCATGCCTACTTTTATACTTTGTTTGGCCTTCTTCCTCCTCGCCAATCAGTACATTTGCAGCATCCTCTAGGGTCACATGTCTTGTCTAGTGTAATCAAATATATTGAGTTAAAACATGTGAGGAACAGTTAGGGCTGGTTATTTGCACGAGGTCTAACCAAACCACTGATTTACACAATTGATTGATTCAATTAAATAAATGTCCTTATACTGCTAGCTTTTGGCCCTCTTGACACTCTTCACGAAAATAAATGTTCTGATGAAAGGTCCAGCTAAATTGAGGATTATTCTGGATGGGGTTTTGTTAAACAATGGCTAAACTTTGTTTAAATAGCTGGCCCTTAAAGTTCAATCTAGAGAAGTATTTGACTTAAATACCATTCATATAAAAGCTAAAACATGTTTCACACCTGTTTTGTTAGACATGGTTGAAAATTGGTTTCCTTAAAGATGTTGCTTACAGCTGTGTTTGGCAACTTAAAATTTAGTGAAATGAAATTAAAATCTATTGATTACTTGAATCCATTGTAAAATTCAATTTGTTCATTTTCTGTAGCTAGCTTTCATTCAGGTGAAAGTAAACCTGGTTTAACTAAACATGCTTTAATGGTGTGAAGGTGGCATTCAACATGTGCATTGTGCATTGTGCATACCTCAGAGACGAGAAACATCATCAAAAACTTTTGACTGAGAACTCCCAATGACTTGTCTTTTCTGCAGTATTCATTATCTTTATAAAAAAATAACAAATAAATGACAATGCATGTTAGCAAGAATTGATGTTTGAAATATTGATCTCAAATAAGTTTTCAATTACTATGGAGTCCTACTGTTGCTGATGTTAAAAATTTGAAATGTGGTAACTTTTAATCTAAATCTGTTTTGGGATAAATTAAAATGAAGCCTATAAAGGAAAGACAACAGGGTATAAACTAACAACAACTGAGAAACCAACAATTACATCTGGGATATTAAAAAAGATCAAAAGAATCATACAAACCTCTAAATTTCAGATTTTTACCAGCTTTTTCTTCTGCTGTACTGTCTTTCACAGTGGCAGGTGGTGGCATGAGGTTGTTGTTCATTTGGGACACATGAGGTTTTAAAGCTTGAACAAGGGACACAAGACTAGAATTCTTTGGGAGGATTAGAGGTAACTGGCTGGACAATGCTGATGTAACTGGAACTTTACTCTAAGGAAACAAATTAAAAAATGTTTTAGATTCACTGGATACATAATGTAGACAGAAAAGTAGAAAACTGATGTTTCTCTTGACCCTGTCAGGAATTGCCTGTTCCAAGATTTCTTCTCTTTAGTTTGAGAACAGGAAATTTTGTAGCACTCAATAATGAGTTGCTCAGGCATGCAAGGGGATGCTGTACAATGTAAATGCAAGATTAAACCTTTTTGCCAAGTTTAAAATACTTCTCACAATCAATTTGACAAAACTTGTCATCTGCAGCAGGCAATCCTAGTTGCAGATCCCAAATTTTACTAGTGTAGCAAAAAAAGAGATAATTTTGCATTTCATTTATCTTGATTACCTTTTCCTTTTTAGTGTCTTTTGATTTTACATGTTCCTTTCCTGGAAATGAGGGCTTTAATTTCAGCCCTTTTGATACGGCATAGTGCTGTTTTAAACAAGATAAGGAAAAAAAAAAGAATGAGTAAAAATTACAAGACTGAAAACATGCTTGCTTCTTGTACATCTCAAAAATCTCATTACAGTTTGATTGAAAAAAGATGATTATGACTCAACCTACTGTGAATATAGCAAAGTTTAAAATGTTTTGAATTGCTAAAATAGTGATCAGAAAATTCACTGATCACTTCGCTCAATTTTCTAAATTTTGACAACCAAAGAAATTTTAGATTCAGACATGAACTTCTGTTGCTTTTCTGTTTTCTCTTGCTACTATGTTTCTTATGAAAAACTTTTGTGTTACCTCAGTTTAGCTCAGAAGAACTTGAATTCAGTACATACTAGAATGGTAGAATTCTGGTTTGAATAAGTGTATTGATAGCAGTATAAATCTCTTCTGAAATGAATTGGCATATACAATGCATTTACACTGCAGCCTTCTTTGGCATCACTTAATGCTGCCAACATCTCAATTTTGGAAATCTCAAATACTCCAAAAAAAAAAAAAAAAAATCAGAATGAAAGCAACAAAAACATGTATATTGGCGTGTACATGTGTGTCAGAAGTTACTTTAATTTTTACCTTAAGTTTTATTAGAGTAGAGGGAAGTCTTGATTTTCCATGCCAGACATATCTGTTCTTTGCATATCTGCTTATAACTTCTACACTTTCCAAAACATTGACAATGTCATAGATTCGCCTCCTTTCCACACCTGTGAAATAAATATAGGGAAGAAATGAAAAGTCCATTCTGCTCCAGCTTTAGGATTTTCATTTTTTATTAGATAGTTGCACTACCTTCTAATTAATTTTTCTAGAAAAGTTAACTATGTCTACTGTGGCTACACCAACACAAGGCGATGCTCAACCAAATTTCCAGGTACGTCCTGGTTTCCTCTAACTGCACAACTTAAATTGTTATGTATCTCCAAAATAAACATATTTTTCTTACTAAGGTCCTTTGCCACATCATCAAGGCCAATCTCAATAAACTCGTTAGCTTTTGGGTATTCTGGATATTTGGACAAAAACCTGTTGAGAAAAGGACAACGTCGTGTATGTTTTACCTCCAAAGAGAACAAAAGTCAAGAATTATGCAATCACACTCAACGTTTTTGAGAAGTAATAATAGACCTGTGTAAAAACAACTATTTCAACCAAAAGCGTATACAGATTTTAAGATAACAGACATGACATCCATGGACTAACTTTGCCATTCTACGAAACGTGACTTCAGTTACTACTTGAGAGAGTTGGTAACGCCATCTCGTCGTTAGGGAGGTAAGGTAATATAATCCTTCCTATATTTTAGGGAGAGGCAAGAAATAGCTGTCGTGTTCTTACTTTATCAAAGTAAAAATAATCGATTAATATTTATATCGCAATCAAACGAAGGACAGTCGTCTTTTGGCGCGTAATCAACCTTGCTTCACCTTTCATTACGAATTCAAACATTGCCACGTTTAACCAAATTTGGCGCTAAACGGTCGATCATGATACAACGCGCCCATTTGAGAAATTAACTTACTTCTGACACAGAAGCCCCAGCGACTTGTCTTTCCGGCTGATGGTTATCTTGTTTTCTCCATATACAACATGAGAAGATTCATCACTCAAATCCCGCTCACTTCTAAGTGCATCAGATTGTCCTGAGTTTGAAATTAGCACACTCGCCGCTGAGTGGAGCGTCTCAAAGGTGTTAAAACTTTCACCTGGAAATAATTCTCTCTTCCTGGTTTCCCGATCGCGGATTGCTGGACTAGCAGCACTGACGAGCATTTTAAGGTTAGCAGTCGGAGTTAAGGGATCATCTCCACATTGATTTGACGAGTTTTTGCCTGCTTCGGCAACCTTTGGTGGTGTGACTGGCGGCCCTCGATTCCAGATACTATTCAGCTGATTTGAAGTTTGAATTTTACAATCTTCGGTGCTGGGAGCTAGCATTAGTTTCTTCTCCTCCATCGATAAATCGACAGTAGTTATATTAGTTCCTTCACAGTTTGTGGCTATAGAGGAAAGCTCTGCCAGCGAGGGATATCGACGTAAAGGAATCGAATGCGATGAACTAACACAAACACTTTCAGTCTCATCATTGTCGCTTGCTATATAATCTGTGTTTGAATGATCGCTTACATCCGAAGCGACGAAAGTCTGCGTAACTGTTTTAGATTCCATAATATTCCTGTAATAAGTTGAATCGAAAGAAAATCATTTGAAAAGTCCTTATAACGAATGAGACGTAGTTTGAGTATACAAAACTATTTACACATCATTATGTGCGAATGACAGAGATTCAGTTTAGCGCGTCCACTAACTCTTGATCGTACCGAAAGGTTGTCTCAGATTTTCGTATGATTTCATTTCTAGTTTGGGAAAGATAAGTTAATCACAAAATACTTCTGAAAAAAATCCAATAAGAGGTAGATCAGGAAAGGACGATACGCCTGTGTTGGAGAAAATGTAGCAAATTGAAGTGCTTATTAGCTACAAATTTCAAGAGGCGCGAGACGTTACGCTCGGAGTAGATGATCACAATACTACAGTGTGTAACTTACCACTTGATTTAAGAATCCGTCAGTTTTTCCTTGGGAACAAGACACTACAGCGTTGTTGAAGGCTCATATGGACCAATTTCACTTAAGGAGCTACGAGAAGCTAAACTAACTGAAATATCACCTCTCCTTTCTCCCCTGGCGCAACGAAACCGCGTTATAAAGCGGTTGTGAATTTTTGGCGCGTTCAATTTTACGCGGGGATTCGGCTCGTCACTTAACCTCTGTTGTTATCCAATGAAATTCTCTTATTATCCTCATGTGATTAAGGCTGACAGACTGGCCAGGTACCTGAGCTGGAACTCAGTTTTTTCGGCAAGTAACGGTCAAGCTCGGTTACTAAGCATGCACGCTTTGCGCGCTGAATTAAGATGGCGGCAGCTAGAGGAGGTAAAGATTTAAATTAGTGTTATTGTCATGTTGAAGCGCCATGATTTAATGCTTTTACTCACTTCTATAGGAACATGGAGGCCGTACAAGGAACTTCTTGCGACGGTAGAACGAGCTGCTTTGTACAAGAAAACTCCAGAAGTTTTTCATGAACTAGAGGTTGCATTGGATAAATTCAATCCAGATTTTATCACTTTGCTTAAAAATCCGGTACGTCAAATTACTGATCATGATTCTTTTCTTTCAGATAGCGTTACAATGATGTAATGTGCCCCATAATAATCTGAAAATTTGATTTTTTAATTGTTGTTGGGTTTTTTTTCCAGCTCTTCGTTTTCCGGTCTGATCTGATCTTCGTTCGAATTTAAGTCAGATCATCACACTTACGACTGTACTGTGTACAAACAGTTCAGAAAGCTTCAAACAAAAGGATAGAAACTAGATAAGAGAGGTATCAACCGTATCTGAAGATCTCAGAAGTTAGGCATGACGTCTGCTCACCGCAAAGATATGCGTCAATCAATTCGAAGCTTCCACATATCCCCTTCCCCCGAGGGAGCATGTGGACTTTTAAAGATTGGTTCACCCAAAGTGCCCATGGGCTTCTCAGGGCAGGGATGTTGAAGCTTCAAATTGATCGGCACATTACTACCTAGAATCCTGCTGAGATGCACTGTAAATCTTATAAGTATCTGATTTGTAACACTTGACCACCTGTCTTGGAAACTTTATAATGTTTCTGAAATTGTGGTATCCCTTGACTCAACTTACTCTTATTCTCTCTGAGTTCTTAGAGTGGTAAGTGGAGGATGTAAAATTGAAATTTGAGGGAGAATCTGTAAATACTGTTACAGTAAGTCCTCCTCCCCCCTCCCCTCAAAAAGACAATCAAACATATGAACAAACAAACAAAACCAAAAAATTGAAACTGATTAAGCCCAATTTAAAAATTTACTCTACTTATTTCTAGTGTTTCATATCAAAATGAGTTCCCTTTTCTTTCTTTTAATTTGTAGGCAAAAAATACAGACCACCGAGAGCAATTGAAGAGAGCCCCCACTAATGGTCTTCAACTTGCTGGCTTTACAGAGAAACAGAAGCTTCCTGAGCAGTTTGTCAAGGAGGCCCTCATTCTTAGTGACAGTCTTGAACTGAATGAGTTTGTGTGTGTTGAGTTACTTCTTGCTGGTGAACAGCAGCAACCCAACTTTCCTGGCCTAACCAGAGGTTTGGTGGCAGTGCTCTTGTATCATGATGGGAGGAGATGTTTAATTAGTGCCTTAAGAACATTGATACAGTCTAGAGAGGGAATAACATGGACGTTGGGCCTCTATGAAGAGATGACACAGTTAGTAACGACATTCACTGATGAACTTTTGAAAGAAGGTAATGGGTGTTTTTATAGAAATGGGGGCGAAATATGTGTCATATTAAGTTCAACAACTGTTTGTGGTACTGCCTACTGAATAACATTTTTAAGAGAGGGAAGGAAATGAAGTAAGCTAGATTACGAGGTTGCTACCCATTTCTACTTATATATCTTTGTTTAATAACTTCTGTTAGGCTGTCACTTTTTTCAACAAAAGCCAAACTATACCTACATTTTGATTTGTTTCTTATTTATAATCTTTTGGAGGACAAACTCATAGATCACATTGCAGTCACAAAATTTTGTTTCTTTATCACATGTAGGTAAAACAAATAGACTATGTTGCCATATGTCTGTTCAGTAACACATCACAGGAGACATGGGTATGTGGTGAGAATGTTAGCAGAGACACACTGGGCTGTGGTTTGTGAGCTGTTTTGTTTTAACCACATTTTGGTGTGATTTGTGAACCCTTACTGAACAGATGCATGGTGACACTGAATCTATTTTTTAACCCATTACACCTTAACATCAGAATTCATATTCTCCATATTGTTCTCTGTACATTTACTAAGGTGATGACTAGGAGAATTTGACTAACAATCAAAAGTTTCTTTAGTTGGTGATCATTTCCTTTATTCTCATGACATGAATGTGTGATTCAGTGGTGATATTTTAAGGAGAAATTAGATGCTAGTCACTCCTAGAGGTTAAAGGGTTAAAAGACACATGACATCATGGAATCTACAGTAATTGTTAACAAGACATGTGGCAACAGGAATCTTGATGTTCAGTGTACTGTGCTTACTTGTTATTTTAGGATTGGTTAGAACAATTCTTCACCAACTTGAGCATCTTGACGTTCAAAATGAACTTGACAAGTTGGAGAGAGGACAAGCCATAGGTGATGAACGTCACAAACAACAACTTATTGACTTTATCACAGATCAAAGACAACTCTTGGCTGAATGTCTCTTTTGCTTTGCTTGCCAATCACCGCTATCAAAAAGTGACTGTCTACAACTGTTGTCTTTTCTCAAGAAATGTCCCTCTACAGATGCAGATGGCTCACTTGACAGTGTCACTCTAACTCTGTTGATGGCCATGTTGTACTGTTTAAATGTTGATCCTCTGGATGAAGCAGCAGACATGCAAGGGTCTTTTCAAGGTTTGATCATGTATTATGTCTTGTAACACAAGCTTTATGAAGCTAAATGTACATCATGATATTTTGAATCATTTGTGTCTCTAAGGAGCATGGGCTTTAATTATTACTGGAATGAAAACAGTAATATTAATTTTGTAAGGTAAAAGACAGAAAAGGAAGATGAATATTGTTTTGGATTGGAACTAATGAACTTGAAAAACTTAAGCAGAATTTTACACTTGATGCATAAATTATTGTTTGGCTCTGTCAAGTTTATTTTAGGTGTTGTTCTGGATTAGTCGTGGGTTTTGTTTTTCTTCTAATGTCATGAGAAAAGAAAAGTTTTCTCAAGTTCATTATCAACACTGAAAAAAGATAAAACTGTCTGTTTCTATTTGTCTCTTAACTGAAACTCTCCATTAAGGTGTCAGTTTGATTAATATTGTAGTTTTTTTTGTTTAACTAAGATGGTTTTCTTTTGAATCATAATTGATTTCCATATATTGCAAATTTGTATTGTGAAATTGGGTCCTGAGGGTGGAATGATTATGCTATAGATATACATTTAACCTTTTAATTCCCAAGATTCACTTAATAATTCTCACTACATACTACTAATCTTTTCCTTGTAAAATAAACATGAGGATATGGTCATAGACCAAAATAACACCTTCTAACTGATAAGATTGTCTTCTCTCATTACCTGTTTATGAGATAACTGATTGGAATGGTAAGGAGAAGTTGCATTTGAGTCACTTCTGGGAGTCAGGTGTAAGAGTGAAATGCAACATTTTCTGTTCATGGTAGGAGTCTATATTGTATGTTCTTTTCTCTTTTTTTTTTCTTACAGAGGAAATGTTCCCTTTGTTGACGGACCACAGCTTTATTCCAGAGTTTCATCTGGAAATCAAACAGCAGGGAACATGGGAAAACCAAGGGATGTGTGCATGTGTCCGTTTTGCTTGGGCTCTGGTACTACGAACCTGCAGCCAGTGGCCTAATATTGTTGGAGCAGTAGAGGTACTGGAGAAAGATGAAGAGGAGTTAGATCTGGCAGTGCAAGAAAACGTTTTGAGTTTCCTTCGGCACTCTGTGGTACGAGCCACCAATTTTCACCAGGAGGTATGCCATTATTTCTTTTTGAGCCCATTATATCGAAAGTACATAAAGATTGAGATGAAAAAGTTGATTTGCATCTTGGCTTGTGCACTGAATATGAAACTGTTGAAATCACTAAATTGCAACTTATCTACAGGGCTACATTTGTCAGTTTCTTTAAAAGACAATTTAAACCAATAATTTATTTTACTTCAAAATGTTCTTTTGTTTTTCAGTTTTCAGAACTGATTTTGTCACATGGACAAGTGGTGTTGAAGATCCAGTTTTCTGCACTAGATTCTAACTTGTTCAAGACAATTTCTCAGGGTGTTGATGAATCATAGCTTAAAAGAACATTAATCTGTGCCCTGGTGCTAACAATGTGACTTTACTCTGCAGGAATACTTTGTCCAACGCTTACACTCACTTGTGACTGGATTTATTGTTAAGATGCCTTTAAAGGTATTTTCTTATTTTGTCAAACCATTATGTCGAGATTTAATATACTATAAACGTCCATGTATAATCTGTGTTTGGAGTGCTCAAAAACCTCATTAATGTTCATAAAACTTACTTGAACAACTAAACATACAAGGAATTTCTCGTTGTTTTTTACTACCTTCATGGCAAATTTGTTGACTGCATTATCAGGCTCCTGTTCTTCTCCCACCACATTGTGCTTTCTGTTTATGGCCAGATGATGGCCAGGTCCTGGCCCACACTCCTCCCAACCTTTAAAGCTTGGCTACTAAGTAATGTTTGTTTTTTTTTTTGGTGCTGAAGGAATTTCAACTTTATGGTGGGTTTCGAAGTGATAATCTTGAAAAATCAGATCGAAAGAGCATTTTAAGTTAAAGGTGGTGTAAATTCCAATGAAAAAGAAGGTACAACAAATGAAATTTCGCTCTCTTTAGACTTAATAAATGTGAAAGATAGCCACAATTTCTATGTCAGTGTTTCGGAACCTTGATTGTTTGTAGCAATACAACTCTACTGAAACTTCAAACTGTATTGTTTTTATTTTTTTCCAAATTCTGTGCTTCCAAATTGGGGGTGCGGCTTGTACATGGATGTTTATGGTATTTCAGTTTACCTTTTTTTTGTATTTCAACTTGTTGTTCATTGTTGTTAAATGCCCCATGGTATTACATATCAAAGCATCTGATGAAAGATATCTCTACTATGTATGTAATTTCTTAAATTGTATACTTTTGAAATCCATAAAACCACGTGTGTTTCATTGTAGGTTAAAGAACTTCGCAACCATGGTGATGAAGTGGCACGTATTCTTCAGGCTCACTTGCAAGATGGTGTGGAGCCCCCTGCTGGTTTGCTGAGACACTTTGAAGATTTGATGAGAATGGTCAGTGCTCACTCAACTTTAAGCATTGAAACTCAAACTTTATCAATCAGTTTAGTTGGATCCTTCAGTCAAGTCACTAAGGGCCAATTTTCACACCAGAACTTTGTCGCATGCAACAAGCATGTAATAGGCCTATGACATGAATTGTTTCATGTAAATCAAACTTACAACTTGCCTACAACTGTGGTATACATCTCAAAAATTGTTGTAGGATTTGAAAACATGTTTTAAATCACTGAGACAATTGTAGCCAAAATCAATTAAAATGCCATTTTTTGTGACAAATTTCCACTGTGTAGAGAGAGAAAAGTAAAGTTTTCTTTTGGAAAAATGGCAGATAAAGCTGCTGTTGTTGGTTGGTTGATACCTTTTTCAGAAGAGGAGATAAAGAAGTTAATTCCTTTGTGTGGTGAAGAAGTCCTTTTCAATAACCGGTGTAAAGACTATTTTAGAGGGAGTGGAATTGTATGTGATTTTGCCATGTCCCAGGTGAAAATATTTTGCACATGTTTATGGTCCTAAGATGTGTTGTAGGCCTGTTGCAAGCTTGTGGCATGCGACAAAGTTGTACCATGTAACTCGGCTCCAAGTTAGCTCAAACTTATGACATGCACCCTGCTGGAGCCCCAAAACTAAATTTGTATAATTTAGGACCATTTTGCCTCTTTGTTTCTGGCTTTTTTCACTAACCTCCACCATGTCTTGGTTGGTAAATGTTCAGGCTATTTGACTTTGGACATGGTCTATAATACATCAGATTTGTAGATAAGAGCCGGCAGCCGGTGAAAGATGCCAGCTTCTCTGCAAGCTTTTGCCGGCTACTACCTTCGAGAACTCGTACAGAGATGATGTTTTTCTAGTCTAAACTTGGGCTCAATGAAAATATTAATTGGCTCTGCCTATCTTTTCTGAAAACATAAAAAGACTTCTGGATCAAGGTTTGTTCAAAAACGTTCTGATGGGGACTTTCTTTTGGACAAATCTTGCTGCTGTGGCAGGAAAGTACAAAGGTGACATTTTGTCTGCCATATTGGATTTCGAGATGTGAATACCGTTTACCTTTAAAAAAGGCTCTGGCTACTTAAAACCTTAAAGAAAACCCTGAATACATACATGTAGCTTTGGGTATGAATTTAATTATTTGTGTGATCTTATTTTTTTGTAAATAACTTTTCAACTTAGCTACCACACTGAACTTGTGTGCACAATTTCTTTAGCATGTTTTAAGTAATTTTCTTCTCCAATGTCCACAGATTGGAGAACTTTATGAGAATGATTCACTTGGTCTTGAACTGGCTGTAGATTTCTGGTGTCCTTTGGATGCAAGCTCTTTCACACCATTTTCACCTTACGACTCATCAAGAATTTCACCAAGCTTCAGACCTCATGCATCACAGAAGCAAGTAAGGGAATGATAAATTTCGTTAATTTGTTGGAACTTGTACATGTACACAACATAAGTAACCTTGATCTTCTCAAGGAGAAACTTCTCAAGGAGAAGCTAGAGCTCGGATTTATGTGGTAAATTTCCCTATACAGGACAGGCTGCAATTGTGAGCTTTGTTTTCCTCTGTAAGTTAAGATTTCCTTTTGTTAGCGGAATTTTCCCTCTTTACTTTCTCATTTGGCAAAACTTTTGACAAAGCACATGTTAGTTCCTGTGACCTTCCCTTTACCTAATGTTTGCCTCAAATGAATTGAATTTTCAAAACTTCCATTCAGCAACCCAGAGTTCCATTTACTTTGCCACCTGTATGTCTTTTTATCACTTTAGATTTGTTTTCCAAAACAATATAAGGAAACATGATCTATTCTTATACAAGAAATCTTCAATTGTTCCACAAAAACCATAACCAAATATCCCATGTATAAGTAATCGATATAAATTCCTTTTTATGAGCCTAATTTCAATATTTTCTCTCCTTTTTCAGGTGAGCCTCTACAAGTTTGTGCGGCTGGCTGGAGATTTATTGCCTGCTCCACTTTTTGTCCCATACATTGAAATGCTGTGTGGTCTCTCAAACAGCCCTCAGGCTGCTCATCACTGCTTCAACTTGCTCAAATCCACAGCAAATGGTCCTCTGTCTTGGGATCACTTCTTTGCTTCTGTTAAACAGTATTACATGGATCTAAGACAGGATGGTGCAAACACAGGTGATACTTTGATATCTGCTTATTTTTTCCCTGTCTCTTTTCATCAGTATAGAGCCAACACAGGTATTCACTTCACCATTGAAGGATTTGTTTTTGTTTGTTTTATGATCAAACCAAATCTTGGTTGAAAAAAAATCCCTGCTTTTTTGATGGTGATCTCCTGGTAAAGTTAATGGCTACAGACTTGTGCAGTAGTTGTTATTGGATGATGTGCATATTTTTGGTTCACAATGCAATGTACATAATATGTAAGCTTAAAAGCCATCTCCAATTCATAGCATATTTCTTTTTTATTTCCCTGTTTCTTGCAGAGTCTTTTTTATAATTCTTTTAATAATTTTTTTATTGTGCCAATGTCTCTTAGTGATGATGTATGGTGGCTTGCAACGAGAAACAGGTCAGGTTCACAGACCACGCCCAACAAACCGTAACATAACACCTGAGGAATTGGAAGGGCTGGAGGCAGTGTTAAAACTTACAGAGAGAATTGCTGATCAGGTGATTTTGAAGAAATAGATTGTTAGTACTTGCCAAAAGTCTGGTCACTTTTTATACTACATGTATTGTCAGTTCTCTTATTGAAATCTAAAAGCAGAATCAAGAAATCTGTCAAATACCATTCTGGAATTTTATCTCTGAAGATATCACACACATTCTTCAAGAATGTGCAGGGTGATTTGCAACAGAAAAATTAAAATTGATCTACAGTTCATTGAAATATTAGAAAACTTTTCGAGCTTTTTAATCAGATGCAATTACCATGTTTTTAGGATGAAATAGCCCGCCTTACAATGTGTGAAAGTCAAGCGTGGCTTCCCATTGCGTCCCTGTTTGGCCTACTTGGTTGCCCTGTACCTCTAAGGCTAAAGGCACAGATTCTTTCAACACTTGCTGCATTTGCAAAGTCTCCTGAAATTGCTTCCTCTTTGTGGCATACCCTAGAATTATCACAGGTAGGGCTAGGCATTATGCATCTTTATGCATGTAAGTTGTTGAAATGTCTGCAATAATTGCAAGTTAAATGAGGTTGAAAAATTGTACATAGAGCTATTGGAAAACAATCTTCAATGATAACTTGGCCTCTGTCTGTAGAAGTACATTATATTTAATTCACAACCTCTCAGTTGTCAAGAAGTGTAGAGAAGGATCTGATGTGGAAGTGCATGTCAATAGCCTTGCTTGTTAGCAAGCAAAATCTGCAAAATCTGAAGGTGTGAGATTTGATTCTGCATGGTTGACTCAGATTTTTCTTTATTCCAAACTGAAGTCAAAATGAGTAACAACTCTCTCAGACTATTCATCATTTGAACCAAATAATGTTACTACTTGTATGTTTCTCATTCCATCTGTTATCAAAAGAATATCAAAATAATTTCAACACTTTCTTTACCTTAGATATTACAGACAGTCCAAACAGCTGGCCAAGCTGCACAGCAAGGTGGAATACAGGTTAGTAGTTACTACATGTAGATGTACCATTATACACTGTAGATATTTGTTATGAGGGGGATATTTCTGAATACAATGTTTTATTATTTCCTAGCCTGCACTGTAGGTCTATGACTTGCTACAGTAACTTCTACAAGAAGTTGGTTGTCAAATTTTTGCATTGTTTGACAATAATATATTTTTGTATCTTTCTGCCATGACAAGCAAACTTTGTAATACAGTTATAGGATGTGATAAGGTAATTTGGTATTATCAATTGAGTTGAGAACGTAAATTGACCACCATAAATAGTTAGCTTTTTAACTCTTTCAGAGGCCAATTTACACTATCTACTCAGTTGATAATATAAAATTACCCTGTTATACTCCCCCACCAATACAGCACCACAGTTTCTTTAGAAACTCACTCCCTTTATAGAATATGATGTTTGTTATTGATGATACTGTAAAATTCTTTGGATTTTTCAGGTGGAATTGAATGAGCTTGAAGCACGCAGTGAGACCTACCCTGAGACTAGAGCATTCCTGAAGCTGCTGACAAATCTTACAGATATTCCACTACCAGCAAACTTGGGAGCAGGCTACAGAGTGCCTGGGTTTGAACCATACCTGGCGTTCCTGCGGGATGAGGTGTTTCTTAAGTTCAATTCACGAGGATACCAAGATCCCCATGAGAAGGTGACTATGCATTTTGTTTGAAGTTACTGATAATTATAATTTTCACTGTCTTGTGTCTGTCTTTTCAAAAAATGTAATTAAATTCAAATCTCCAGAACAGATACATGTATCACAGAGTGAGACAACCGTGGAACCATCATTTGGCTCCACAAAAATGGGCTGCAATGCAAATTACATAGTTTTTTTGACTGCTGCTCGTACTTCTTTTGTGAAAAAATATTGGTTCCCTTTTGAAGATGACCAAAACAATCTAATTCTTACAGAGTTCTTTAAATTTCTGGCAATCAGCATAATTACTTGATATATAGGAAAGTTGGTTAAAAATTATCAGCAGAAAATGTTAACAGAAAATTCCACACCTTTTGTGTGAATTTTCTATTTGACTCCAAGGATAAGTTCTGTTTGAACACTTGTCAGTGTTACTTTTGTCTATACCCCTTGACTCTTAGGATCTCATTGAAATTCTCCCCTCTATTCACAATTATAATTTTCTCTTGAGTATAG